TACTATGTAAAACTCCATCATTGAATGACTTCTGCTCAAACTTCTCACTGACAGTCCTCTTATCACTCTTAACCATGCATATGTATTAACAACTCATAATAAATCCATGACAGTCTAGAATAACAAACACAAATCATTTACCAGTTCATGATGCCACTGACACTACTCCATCCTCCTCATGTCACTAATGTGAGATTTCCAAAGATCCAAACTCCGTCCTGTGGACTCTACAAACACAAACTGCACACTCTGCGCTGCAACTGTACCTATGAGAGGAGTCAGCCTTGGCCAGGATGTTGGCTCTCCCATATGGCAAACGGCTCTTCCTGTCGCGAGACACGGCAGTGGGCAGGCGCGAGGAGCGCCATACCGGGGGGTCAACGTGTTCGCCCCGGGACATAGTGAATTAAAGAGGGAGGGTTTGCTGTGCCCTGCCAGGCCTGGGCCCCCCTGCCTTCTACAGCACTGAAAGCCTCTGGCGGCTCCGGGCTGTCGCGCTCTGTCCAATGGGGAGTTTCCCCTCGGACACACACACACACACACACACTCACGCACACACATCTCATCTCCTGCCCCAGAGACACCAGTGAAGCCAGCAGGTGCTGTCTATAGAAAGCTCCCCATACCACAACTGTACATGTGCAGAATGTGTGTGTGTGTGTGTGTGTGTGTGTGTGTGTGCAAATCTGCACGAGAGATAATTTGATAATTTAAACAGCTTAACATTTTTCTAATTTCAAACTTCCATTCTCCTGGCTTATCTTATATTTTATGAAGACATGCTAAATCTTCAGGGTCGCTTGGAGCTTACAGGAACTCATCACTGTGGAAAATTAGAATTAAAAAAGACTTTTATGAAGAGATTTAATTACATTTCAGTGTTTCGGATTTGTGGGCGACAAGGAAGAGGAGCTTGTGCCATCCAGGCATGAAACCTCAAACAAAAGAACATTATGCATCTTGAATATTATTTGAGGTTGGTGTGATACAATGGAAATGTAGAGAAAGCAAACTATCAGACGATCATCAACTTGTGTTCTGTACAGTGAGCTCTACACTCAGCTTCTCACAGTCAAGATGCAACAAGAGTGGTATGTTCATAGACTTAGATTGCAGTTTGTGAGGACGTTGTGTGACACAGATGTCTGGCTGTGTGGTCTTAAACTCATCCATCCTTTGTCTTGGCACAACATTACGTAGGTGTCAGGGTGAGAATCTGTAGCCAGGGGTTGAGTAAGAATCCAGCTCAGCATCTGATTATCAAATCCAAATTAAAAATTTGACTAAATATTTTTAGGTTTGGTGGATAATGAAAATCGTTAAAATATCCCTGCAGCATGTGTTGGTACATGTCAGCAGATTGTTTCAGTGTCAGAAAGCAGCCAAACAGTTAATCTGAGAGAGAGACAGGATGAAAGGTTTGATATGGCCTTGGTTGCCTGCGGGGCTTAATGCATCCAGGTACTTTACAAACTTGGAACCAAATCTAACTCGATCTAACTCTGTGTATGTTTTGCCAGTTTTCTGTGGGAATAAGATAAGCGCGAAATTTACATCTCCAAAAGTTGTTAATCCGTTAGCATCCAGCTCTCTGCTTTTACGTTGGAAAAATCTGGCAAATACAGTAGAAACATTGTGGCTGTCTAGATGCATCCTTTGCCGTGCATTTCACTGAGAAGCTGCGTGGGTTGAAAAAAAAAAAAGTTTGACTGTGAAGCATAAGTTTGCAATTTTAAAGTGAATTTTTTTTCTCTGTATAAAGATAAAATGATAAAGGAAAACAAATGAAACATTACTTCCCTGTGTTTTCCCAGCAGTGTATATCAAGGTACAGCATGGAATGCAACATTCACACGAGTGGAATCTGGTTCATCAGCAACACACGCTAACAAATCATCTGTGTCTGACGTTTGACTCACTGTCATGATCATCTGGCTCATCCTGACTCCACCACTGGACCTTCACAAATCGCCACGAACAGCAGCTTGTCAGCTATAATCAGCTTAATTACTTGATTTGTGTTTGTTCTTAACACAATATGTGTAACGATATAAGAGGAGCATTGTCCACCCTTTCCCTGGCTTCCCTTCCAAATTCATTCTCCACACCCTTACGGGAATTCTTCAGCTACAGCTGGACGCTGAATAACCCGGACGGCCCCAGAAAACTCACAGATTAATGGCTTACTTTATCACAGACAGACATGGACTGATCCTCTGACCTCCACTGTGGCCTTCAGCACTGAGGCTCGATTAACTTATCAGCCCAGGGGAGCGACAGCGAGGGCAGGGAGCCTCTGTGGAAATGAGCCGAGACGCTTCACTTCAGAGAACTTCCTTGAATTGAATTTATACATTCTCGGCCCTTAAATATCTCACAGACACATCCTTGTATTTTATGATATCTAAAAGGAGACAGTGGTGAAAAGTGCAGCTTGTGTAATGGCCTCATGATGAGAGCCGGTATTGATTTGTTTGCCAGACTGGACTGGATGCGGCGGTGTGCCTCGAACGCTTCGCTGTTCGGGGTGTGTATGTGTGTTCGAGAGCGTTCTCCACCTGTTGTTGGTGGGTGGGGGAGGAAGGAGGGTGGGAATGGGAGGCAGCTGTGCCCTTAATAACCCCCACACACATACGCACACACGATACACTGACCCCGCCGCTGCCACCTCCCAGCTCGTCCAAACAGAGTCAGTCCAAAAGCTCTCCACAATATCATCTTACTCACATACCCGCTCCTCAAGTGCTGAGACTAACTGCTCTTACTGTGCTGATTTCATGCCCATATACTCACACACACACCTACACACACACACACACACAGCAGAGCCATACAGAGTGGCCGAGCGGTAATCTGATCCGGTCAGGGAGAATGCCGCTCATGTGTGGCATGCCGGGCCTTCCTTTAGATGCTCTTCTAAGGCTTGCTCTGTCTATTTACATCACACAAGGACAGGCCTTCTTTGCTTTTACTGCCTTTTACTGCTCAGCTCACTGTACGCCAACACTCCTACTGTAGAACGCATGTCTTCATGTTATACTGCACCTCGAGAAAGAAAATAAAGTGTCTCCACGTTAAACACCTGCAAGGACTGAAGTGAGGAAAACTCGCTAGAAATTGAGTAAAACATCCAAATGCTAGAGTGAGAATTCTAACATAGCCATCACAAGTTCATAGTTATATACTACCACACACTTAATTACCAAATGTGCTCAACTTTTGTACTGAAATGTTTCTACAAATTACAGTAATTTGTCTTATTCTGCTATTGTTCAGATGATACAGGACGACTTTCTGCTGCAGGATCTCGGGGCAAGCCTGAGGTGCCATCAACATTTAGCGGCCTTGTAATCTGCCTTTTCAACCCTTCTGTTATGATTGTGGTGTATGATTAAATACGTCCGATCACAACATTAACTTGGATTGCATCAAAACAATGAAGAATATTAGTGACTGGACATAACTTCAAGTCATATGCACACACAGGAAATAGAACAGTGAAGGTTTAGTTGGCTAGCCTCCATGGTGAATTTAAAACTGCAACATTGAGACAGAAAATGACACTTCTTGTCCGCTCCAAATTTAACCAATCAGCATTTGACGTCTCCGAGCTTAACCAATCAGCATCGAGAACTCCACAGCCCTGAAAAAGGTTTTACGGGGTGGTGTCTTTTTTTGCAGTCAGATAATGCGCAAAGGTTCAGGCTGCTTTAAAATGACCTACAGGTTCCTAAAAATAAACAGATTTTCACCTCATTCCCATACATACGGGTGAGTGGGGACCGTAGCAGTGTCGCCATGATCACTTTCTAAAAGGAATAGAAGTCCACATTTGAGAGGACGAGGTGCAAGTCAGCAGACTATGAGCCACTTGAGTTCAAGTCCTGTCAGTGATCGATGTAAGCATCAAAACTACTTGGTTAGGAAAGGATCATGGTTTGGGTTTAAACGCCTCCGTCATGTCTCAAAGCTACATTTTGTCCCGTGCATGTAAAATCTCCGGTGGAGACTTATTCGTATACTTACTTTTATTAGTTTCTGTTTATCAGAGATCAGAATGACTCTGACGTGTACTGAGCGTCCTAAAAGATGGTGTATAGACCCATGTGTGTGTATGGGAATGATCTGTGCTGATAACAGTCATTTAACAAGCTGATAATATCTGATTTGAGCGGGATGATTCATTTAATTTAATTACAACTACCTGAGTTTGGGATGACTTTAAGACAAAAAGTCTGACATTTTGAAAAAAAACACACATTTGCTCTCTGGTAGTAAAAAGATCAACACATGAGGTAACATTAGGTAAGTAGTTAGCTTAGCTTAGCACGAATGCTGGAAACTTCTTTGTGTGCAAAAACAGAAGTGGAAATTCATTTACAAGAAGTTGCATGCCAGACAATTAAGTTCAGTGATTCGATATGTTTTAAACTTTGATCACCTGTCAAACAGAGCCAGGCTAGATCCCTTCAGTTTTTTAATTTAATGTAAGATATCAACTTGCTGACTGTACAGAAAACAGACGGATATAAGAGTGGTATCACTCTTGTTATTTATGTCTCCAGCAGACAGCGAAGCATAGTACTACAGAATGTGAATGGATTTAATTTAAAATGTAAATCTAATCTAACTTCTCTTCTCTGCTGGCAATTTACTTGACTCATCCCAAAGCAAAACTTTCTTATGCAGCTGATACAGCAAAACCCTAATCAGAAACATCTTCTATGAAGGCTGTTATTCATTTCCGCTAAGAGGTGGTCATATCCATCAATTTTCTCTTTATAAAAGCTCTAACTGGACCTAATTAAGCATCCAAAAGCAATAAATCACTTGAACAACTGCGTATTCCTGCATGCATCCTAAAAAATAATTGGTCCACTAATTCAAACCAGTGACACTAACTTGCCTCTCTGACCTTTCCAGCAGCCCACACGAGACAGAAACCAGCACCAAATTACTGCAATACCACAATCAGGAGTCTCTACATCAGCGTAACATACCTGGACTGCATCTCTTGTGTCTTGTGGCTGCCGGCGGACGGTGCGGTGCTGCTGGTCTGCTGGCTGAGCTCCACCAGCGACTGGTAGTACTGCTGCTGCTGCTGCTGCTGCTGCTTGTAGCGCGACAGGATGAAGAAGAGACCCAGGATGCTCTTTAGGTTGCCATTCCTGATCTCTGGAGGGACCAAACGGAGAAGAAATGTTAGGTTTCTACTTTGCTGTGGATGGTTGTTGATCAAGCGCCTCCGTCATTTGAGCTCCATCCATGTGGTGATTTATAGCTTTGCCCTGCTTCTACACTCCAGTTGAGGGTGTTTTCTTGGAATAAAGTAATTTTTACAACTGGACGTAGTGCTGAGCTTGTTTTTCATTTGTCTGCTGTCGGACCTAAGCAGCGTCCTGTGACGCAAAAGATAAATATTTTCCAGACTATGTATTGTGTCTTTCAAACGCTGTTAAGTGAGCATACGATGACTTCTTAAAAAAATGCACTTGGGGATACTTAGGTGCAGCTGTTGTGCAGCAAGCATATGAACAATCATACACTTTAACTGTAGATTACATACAGATGTACTATGTTTAATATACAGTTATAGCCGTCAGAGTTCAGAGTCATTTAACTGTATTTAGTATGAAGTAACGCTTATTATGTATAGGAATAATTCAGAGCACTACTCACTAGAAGATCCAGTTGTCATAGATCCAGACTAAAGCATCCACTACCATGAGCTAACCCACAGCTGGCTAATTTAGAATTGAAGCTCAGCACGAGAACTTCAGCAAAAGTGCATAACTGGCGGCCAAACAGCTAAAAATACACAACAGAAGCTTCATTTACAGTTCTGCTTTCTCCCCTGAAATGAGGAACTGATAGTGTATTTGCAGGTGCTGCTGCTGCGGTGGATGACGGCAGAAATTTCTGCGTATTGAAAGAGGTGAAATCATTAAAAATGGATGAGATAAAAGAAGAATGAAAGCAGCTGAATTGGATTTCAGTATCTACATGACAACTAAAATGAAATAAGCAAGAAAACAGCAGCGGCGATAACCGCATAAGAAAGATAAAACACAGCCAGCCTGAATAAATTCATGCTGAAAATGAACCCAAAGGAGGTAAGAGTAATGGATGAGAGTTAAAGAGATTCTCTTCATGTTTTGGGTATTAGATCTGCGGGAAAGTGCAGCCCTGCACACAAAGTTCCTCCTTGAATATGCTGAGCTGGCAACAGGGAGACAGCTCCTAATCGATGAGTAACTTTGTCCATCGTGTAAATCTAATCCCTAACAGTTCTTGAGTTAATCTCAGACAAAAGTCAAACAAATGCGTCCCTCACAGACTCACCGCTCACACAGCTGAGAGAGAATTCGGCAGTTGCGGGGGAGAAAGAATTGATCACTGAGGCTAACGCACCCATTTGTGAAATGGACATTTCATATCAAAGCCTCAGTGAGAGCTGGCACACAGCGGCACGGGAAGGATGGCAGCGGCTGACGCAGGGCTTTTACTCCATTTTTCAATGCGGTGAGTGAGGCACAAACATTCTCCCCAGCCATCCATGCCTGTGCTGTTCGGAGGCTGCGAGAGTTAGAGAAGATTAATCTCTTGGGGGTGTTTTCCATTTTCCAAACACCCAGAGGCGGTAATTTATACGAGGCCTTTGAGAGAATCTGAACAGCAGCGTTTTCTGTGCTTTAGGGAGAGACAGTGTTGCAGATTCAGCCGACCAAAGAGCTGCTGGGGGACTGAAACTTTTGGCAAATGGCAAAAATAACTGAAATGATACAGTTGAGGACAAGAAGAAGAAGAAGAAGAAGAAGAAGAAGAATACTTCATTGGTCCCAAAAGAGAAGAAGCCCTTGCGGTCAAAGTCAGCAGCGCGTTTGATATGTTTTACTCAAGGAAACTTAAGCCAGGTGTAGGCTCGCACAAAGGCAACCGGGTAATTGGGAAACTGTCCCGGAGCTCCAAGATCACTGCTTTGTGCTAATTTACTAGACAAGCTCTTTGACTTTATACACCAGTGCACAGAATTAACTGTCATGATGAGGGCCTTAAGGTAGGTCTCTAAGCCCTGCCTCCATGTCCTTAAGTTTTGTCCTTAAATGTTACACATTCCTACATTAATATATTTGATTAAATTGCTACACAGCTAACTTAGGGCGAGGTTAAGTTCAAGCACAGAAAAAAACAACACACAAATATTGGATGGAACAGGGCCAGGCAGCCCATGTGCCCGTTTTGGCAGCACAAAGCAGGTCATTTCTGGACTTAACTTGCACATGAAAGAGCCGGAACAATAGACCAGTGTTTGGAGGACGGATCCATGATGTCAGATAAACATGTTATTAATATCTTGAGGATGCTCTGCCTGTGATTGTGTTTTATATTCGTATATTCATTGAAGGTAGGGAACAATAAAGTCTAGACAACTAAATATTCAACTCTACTTGTTGTAGGTGAACTCATAGAAAACACTTCAGTTTACCCAGATAGCTCCTCTTTTAACGTCTTGATTACAGATGACAGACAGATTACAGATGTGCTGGAGAAATCACGTTTGTATCGACTATAATAATAATAATAATAATAATAATTGATCAGATTTATGTAGCGCTTTTCTGGACACTCAAAGACGCTTTACACTGTCAGTTATTTATTCACAATTGTAGCCACAGCTGCCCTGGGGCAGACTGACAGAGGCGTGGCTGCCATTCTGCCCCTCCGACCACCACCTTAAACAATCCATTCATACACATTCACACCAGGCAAGGTGGTGAAATGTCTTGCCTAAGGACACAATGACCATGACACAGGTTACAGGATGGAATCGAACCGCCGACCATCGACCAACTCGCGCTACCGCCTGAGCCACAGCCGCCCCATAAGATAATGTTGTACTTCCATCCAGAAGAAAAACTGTTTGATGAATTTGGGTTGGTTCATAGGAAACTCTGGTTACTGAACTGTCTCAACAGCACAGCCTCCTCCAAATTACTACCAAAGTATTTCATGTACCTCCAAAACCACTGCATCCCAGTTCAAACTTAAGTTCAAAGCTCCTCTATCTTCATGTCTTCTTCTGCGACAGCCTCTAAATTCTTTTCATGTTGCGCATCGTGACGCATCCTGCTGTTTCTTATTCCTAGTTTCCATGATTGTCATTATATCTGCTTCTACCTGATCATATAAAGATTGTGGCATATTGTTGCTGGTAAAGTGAATTTTCAGAGCTGAGTGTAGCTACCTGGAATGATCTACCAGAGGCTGAGTCAGCGATCTCTTTTAAGTCTTTTCTTACTTTTATCAGAGAGCATTTCCTGATTTTATTTTATTTTTCATTTGCTTTGAACTGTTTTTTTCTTCTTGAAATAATATGTTTACCTCTTGGAAGACTGTGCATGCACCATGTGTGTTTTTAAATTCTGACTTGTTTTACTTGGATGCCTCGTAAAGCACTTTGTAACCTGGATATTGAAAGTAATTTGCCAATAAAAAGTATTTATATTACTTTAAAAGTTCTGGTAGATCAAGCTGATGTCTGTCATGTTTCTCTACATCTATTCCATTTGCGTAGGAGCTTTATCACTTGATTTTATCAGAATGAACTCCACCAGGAGCTCACAGTGTGAGGTTACACATCACAGCAAAACGAAAACTTTGGGCTTGATGGTGGAGATCACCTGATTTTGACACAGGACACTTGCTGCAGAAGGATTTTGGGTTAGATGAGTGAAACACAAGTTCCGGTGAAGATTGTGATCTTGACAAATCAGAAAAGTAAATGATGGCACCTTACAATAGGGTTGTACTTTTGCAAACATATTTATCATTATGCAAATTTGAAAGATAATAAGAATTTCCTGTCCAGTGAGACTTAAATGAATTTAATCTAAAAAGAGATGCTTGTTCTCTGCCAACTGCTGCTTTATCTTGTAATTGTTCTGGTGTTGCTGCACAACGCTCAAGAAAGAAGCATTTGAGTTTAAAAAAGTAGGATTTATGCATGAAAAGACTCTTTTACTTCCTAAAACATTGTGAGCATTTCAGATAATTCCATCAGTTACCTGCTGCTCAGCTTGTCATCTGACCAAAGTTCTGTTGGCGTATCTGCTGAACAGCTCTTGTAAAGCTCTCAAAATCTTTTCCCCTCATTTCTGTTGCACCTTTTTTTCTATTTCAAAAAATTGTGGGATAAGTAATGATAGAGAAAAGGATAGCTGGATTCCATGAGACACTGAGAGCACCTTGTCATCAGTCGATTTATCTACCGTAAGCAGAAGAACTCTGGAGCGGTAGAAGATGTGCTGCTGCTTGGCTAACGTTCAATGAAAATGTGTCTTTGCTTCTGGAGGCCTTTTAAGTGGTTGATGTGGTTTCATTCTTTTTCTTTTATTTGGTGAGGTTAGTGATTCATCAGTCACAGAGGAGGTGAAAGAAAGGTTCGAGTGAGGCTAAGCAGTACAAAGAAGATGGATATCCTAATTAATATTCTGTCTTTAAGAATAAGAAGAACTTCAATCATCCCCAAAGGGAAATTCTTTTGTTGCAAAGATTGTGGAGGCTGTACAACTAAATTATAGATTGAAATACATTTTAAAAATTCAACATTTGAAATTCAACAGAAAGAGGAGCTGTACAGTTTGACGGCCACAGGAAAGAAGGACTTTGGATGATGTTCAGTGAAGCATTTTGTCACTACAAGTTGAAATCATGCTACTTAATGGACCATTTTTGGGTTTAATGTCCCAACAATGTGTCCAGCAAAGGTTTATTCTCCTCTCACACCTAGTTATGTCTTCGCTTCTGCTTTTGCCTTATATGTACACCTGTTGAAAATTCCTTTGTTTTATGATTTCCTAATTAAATTTTCTGTTATGTTTTGATTTCCTGCCCTATTCAATCACACAGTCAGCCGCTTTCTACACTCAGACCGGATTAGTAATACTCTAAACTTGATTTTAAAGCCTTATCCCCGCCCTTGGCTTCACCTTCTGGTTAGAGAACAAGTGTGCAGCCTCGGCTGATCCAACACAGATGAGTGTTGGAGGGCGTTAATGAAATCAGACCTATTTTGAAGAAAAAAAAGAAAATTGCACCCACTGAGATCAAGCAAGAGGGGCTTTATTGTGGTTAGCGGGTCATTGTGTAGGTTGCCTGCTGGCACTACAACCAATAAGCACTGGTCTCAAGTGCAGAGACCCTGCAGTGGAAGGAGGCTTTAATGACCTGCTGTAGGGACCCCTCGCTGTAACCCATTATCAACTGCAGGAAATGTGTGTTTCTGGGCTTTACACCTGCTTTTAAGCCTGGAAATGGTCGACTGAACTTCCTGCAGATAATTATCACATTTCAGGTCGTAAAACTTTTGTATGTTGTTGGGTTGATATGTTTTGTGTGCAGAGGGGTCAAGTGTGAGCGTAAGTTTTAGTCGCTGGAGGTTCTGTCTTTACAGCTTGTCCGGCTGCACCTATACACAGTGGTGCTTGCAGCTAAACGCATGCTCACCACGTTTAGCATTTTTAAATATTTATTTAATGAGCAAGCATGCTAACAATGGCATTGCTTGTTTATAATTAGCATTAAAGTAGAGGAGAAGCTGAGGTGCGTCTGCTCGAAACAATATAAAAGAGTTGACCTGATTATGTGAAAAGTTTCATAATAAAATATATTTTTATGAGGACATTGATGGCAAATTTCCTCGGGATTCTGTCAATAGTTGTCAAGAGAGAATTGCCATTATCGAAAACGATGATGCTAAAAATGCTTTGACATAAAGATTTGAAACCAAATTCAGTTCATTGTAGCAGTTATTTTAAGTTCATCATGACAGTCATTTGTTGTTATTGTACAGTTGCAGTCACCACTTCAGTTTCAGACAATGGCAGAGGCAGCAGAGCCTGACTCATTTCAATGTAAAAAAAAAACTTCAAAAGCATCAAAAGCCCTTCAGATTATTAGAATAAGAAGGTGATAGTACACTGCGCAAAGCAGCACTACTGCTAAACACATGAACAGGAAACACAGGTGCTTTTTGCTTATAAATACTGTGTTGTATTACAGCCGAATTCCAATAAAGCTGTTCTCATTTACATTTTTTTTTTCTGTTTCTACAGTCAGACAACGGATTGAGTGTGAAATAGTGACTGAAACGTATAGACTACATGTTAACAAGCAGTCACTGTCAAGCTGCTGCTGAACCACAATGTCATCTGAGAAATTTTGGCATTCACATAAATTAAAGACTGAAGCTGGGCTGTAATGTTGCATATATTTACATAGAGTCTGAAGCTACTACCAAGTCAGAGAACAATTACACAATAAGGAGAAAAGATGTTTGTTTAGCCAGTCTGATTGTAAAACGCCAACTATGTCAATGTTGGACTTTGTTTAATACAAAGACCAAGTTTTTGCTTTTGTTCAGGGGTTTGATAGAAACTTGGAGTTTGCTGGTTTAACTCAACAGTTTTGTGCTTCCTTATGTAAGCCTTTGTTTCCATTCCATACTGTGTAGAATTAGACAATGAAATGCATTTTGTCCAAGTAAAGTCAACCAAAATAAAATGGTCATTTTGCTTCTTGGAAGAAAATTAATTGCTTAGAGTCATCAATTAATCTTTAAAATAGAAAAATAACCCTGAACCTGAGCTAGTCATGAGGATTTATCCTCCAGGAACAATGACTGTCTGTATGAAGCTTTGTTCCAATCCATCTTGTAGATATTGACATTTCAGAGGGTAACCAAAAACTTTGACCCTGTGTTGGTGGCAGAAGTTGTTAGGGTTCATCTCCTGGGCACTATGAATGACTGTAGCAATTTCATGGTCATACATCTTTAGATGGTGTGGAAAGTGATATAAAAACATGGTTTGGAGTATCCCTACTACTTAAAGTCATACATATTAATGTTAGTCACTGAAGGTGAGTTTTTTAATCCCCCTCTTATCAGATTCTGATTAACTGGATTTTTGATCTGCAGTCCTCCTGAGTCACAAGCCTCTTGGCACAAATGCCAATGTCATACTCCTCTGTAGCATTACTTTCTAGTCTGGCATGGAAAACAGGCTACGGACTTGATTTGATTACGGCCTATAACCTCCTTCAGTGGAAACGTCTGTGGGGGAACCAAAACATTCTTCAATAAGATGAGTTTTTCCGGAACTTTAGTTTACAGCCTCCCACCAGAGAGATGCAAGGGGACTTCTCGGGAGGTTATTACAATAAGTAGGTTCTAGGTTCCTGTATGCACATCAAACATTCCACTTTATTTTATTCCCACGCCTTGTAAAAACATAATAAAGACTGCATATGCCAGGAAAGCCTTGGGCTGATTCAATTAGACATGAGAGGGCAGACGTGGCCATCCCATTCAGCTCACAAACACACACACAGCACATGTACAGTACGAGAGGAAGATGGGCCGAGTGAAGGCAGTGATGAAATGCATCAGCAACAGCGATGAACAGAGTAACCCAATAGCCCATATATTTACAGACCCACTTTGAAATTCCAGGCCCAGCGAGTCACTTTGCTGTTTTTAGTGCTGTAGTTGGGAGGCACGGAATTCAGAGCTGTCGGTCAGTGTGTCAGGCCGTTAGGCTATTTCTGCTGCGGCAGAGGTCAAGGGCACGCTCACCTCTTTAATGTTTAAAGGAGAACAGAAACAACATGGGGTCCGAGCGAGCGCAGGTCCTCAGCAGCAGCTGGAGGCACTTTGTGCTACAATAACTGAGAAGTGCTCGTGCATGCGCGTATGCACTTGAACTTGAAGACATTTTGTTCAACGCTGCAGCCAAAGGTTGCAACGAAAAATAGATTGTGACAAGTGCAAGTGCAAACTTTTATGTATATATATGATATGCAGCAAATGATAATATGTTCATTGATTTCAGATAGACTACTGACAGACAGCGTCTAACTTGCATAAATGCATTTATTCTCAACCTTTCTGTGAACTTTATCAAGAAAACAGTTAAGAAGACACATGAATTCATTTCCTGTGATTTTTTTCATTTTTTTATTTAGAGAATATACTCAATTTGACATTGTTTTCTGTGTCCTTTCATTTATTATGATGGTTGTTTTACTAAAGATTGGCCCAGTTGAGATCCTTGACCAGTTGCAAATATGTCTGAATATATGTATACATTGTGGTCTTGAGTAGATTTGTTATTGAGACAGTTTATTATTGATGTTAGCTTTCCTATAATCTATGTTAAATGACACAGCATCTATTCAATATGTGTATTTTCTTTATGTGGCCTTGTCATCTATCTATCTATCTATCTATCTATCTATCTATCTATCTATCTATCTATCTATCTATCTATCTATCTATCTATCTATCTATCTATCTATAGGGATTGTCTTTACTATTTTAATGAATACAGTCCTGACAAGGTAGAGGTACATTTAATAATTATTTTATGTAAGTACTGTGAGCAGATTTAAGTTTTATGAGACCTTGTTGAATTTGAAGAATTCTATTGACTAACTTTCAGGTAGTCATTCAATAGAGTGACGTTTTGGGACTCAGGCCTTCCTGATGTGGGAATGTGGCTGGTTGCAGAGGTACTGCTGTGCCCTGTTTAAAATGTCTTCTCTTTGTAACAAACCTGATGAGGGTCTAACAAGGGAATGAGCGTATCCTGTTTGCAAGTTAGGATGTGTGCAGGTGTCTGTTTGAAACTTGTGGATATGCTTGGTCTTTTTCTTCGCACCTGTCTCTTGAAATAGATGTGAAAGGCGCTCCTTTGTCTTAAATAGTTAATTAAGAAGTTTAATGTGTTACTGTTGGGACAAACTAACTTCACAAGTTAAACTATAGATTCTCTGGAAAAGACACTTTCACAAGGCAGTGAACAGGGCGGTTTGTCTGTTATTGTGGAGATACACTGGATCACAACAATCAGCTCTCCGGATCAGGACATGCTGCTGTACTTTCTACTGCATGGTGCATCAGGTGTGTGCAACAGGTGTCAAATGGTGCACGTGCCTTGATGCAATGCTGTGTGCTCCATGTGTTGTCTCACCACCAGGACTTTCCAGAAACAGTGAAAAACTAACTGCATTTGGACTGACTGGAATCTTGGCCTGCTCCTGCACAGTCAGAATCAAGTGTAAAATGCAACCATAACATATCATTTAGAAGCCTTGTGAGACTATTTTATCATTCAATTTGGCACAGAGTCACTGAGCGCAGAGCACGGCTGTCATATAAACCTTGTAGTGTGAACCCTGATGATCGGGAGGAGAATCCTTCCCTGCAGTTTTTATCCTCCCACAATCCACTCTGATGCCCTAATCATTGCCTACACTGCCATAGCGAAAGCTGGAAGATGGAGAAACTGTGCGTCCTGTCATGATACCAACGTGGTAAATTCCATTGCCGTGAAGTATAATAGTATGTCTTGGAAATATGCTTTAACCAGTTTTCTGAAAACATTTGGCACTGTGAAGAAATGGAAAGCTACCCACAGAGGGTCAAGTGGTGCAGGGAGCCAAATGAATTTTCCAGGTCTGTAAATTAAAGAAGTACAACAGACTGATCCCTCCTCTGCTGCTCTATTGATTCGATTAACGAGGGCTTGAATTGTGTATTGTTTGTTCTTCTTACCTTCTGCTGAGAGCCCTTGTACATTCACTCCTCTGGCGTCCAGGAAACTGAGGCAGGCGTCCACATTCTCGATCTGCGGGGAAGACGGCAGACAGTCAGCACAAAGGACAGACGCAGCAGGAATGTGACGATACTCAACAGTCACTGAGCCCAAATGTCTCGGGGCAGAGGGCTCAGAGGACGGGGCAGATCAGCATTATTACCCATAAAGCACATCATTGTGTGGTTATTACCCGACCCCCGCATGACCCTGATGCCCGGCTGCATGACAGGCCGACCGCAGTGTGTCGCCACCTACACAACGCAGCGCATGCAACGTATAAGCACTCGGCGGGGGCACACATCCATAAGTACACAGACAGTAGACTCTAATGCAGTAACTTACAGACCCACACAAGAGGTAAATGTGTGATGAATCCACACATGCACTTGCAGAAAGCAGACAGAGTCAAACTTAGGAACAAACTTTTATTCAAACATAAGGTTGTAGGTCAGTCTGGTCCACTCTCCCGACACAGTCAACAACTGCCACCAATGTAAACTCGTATCAGTTTCAAAAAGGCCCACTGAGGTTGCAGTTATTAGGGGGATTTTTTGCTGCCTTCCCTGACAGCAGCTAACGGGTGGCTTCATTAGCATGGTGGCCATCCGCCAATACCCCTCAGGATGTCTTTTATGACGAGGTCAGAGGTCAAACTGCTCTGCTTCAGCGCAGAGTGTCAGGGCCACACAAAGGGCAGGCCGGCCAACTCAGCCAGACGTCCAGCGGGCAATGATGATTCATGAGCTGTAACTCCCACTGAGCTCTCTGCAACTCTCTCGCTCTCTCTCTTTTTTTTAATGCTCCCTTACTCAGTGTCGCTTTCTCTCTTTATTAGCGAGACGGAGGCTTTGTAGCATCAGTATAATGAGTAATATCTGCACACAGGCTGTTTGGATAATCACCGATTCTTCTCCCAGTCCCACTGAGCTACGCTGCACTGTCGTCAATGGCTTAATAGCACGTCTTTCAGTGAAGAATCGACCCTATCTTAATAAAAAAGACAGCAAAGCAAAGCATAGTGTGGTCCTAATATGCTTCAACATAACAGGGACATATTAATAAAACATAACATTGCAAAGGATGTGAGAAGAACCTAATACTGCTAATTCATCTACAACTTGCTGAAAGATACAAAGGACACCCTTTTCCCCAACCACCATGCCATCGAAGCACATAACCCAACGAATGATATCTTGGTTTTCTCCCATTCAGCACAAGAACTGCCTGAAAATCACACATATGTCCTCCTTTGATCATGTGTTTTAAGCCAACTGTGTAGAGAGAATCAACACACTGTATTGCATACAATATAAAAAGAGCTGGAAGAATCCATAGAAACACCTCAACCTCACACAAAAATTGTAATTGCAACTTCACTGGAACTTCTATCTATCAAGGAAATAGTCCTCATGGAAACTGTTCTATGGTCATGGACCAGATGTGAATGTAGAATATGTACAGCTGTGCAAGTCTGAATGTGGATTCGGAGGCTACAGGTGGATGTGAGGGTAGATGTGGTGCTTTTGCAATATGAGCAATGCCAAGTAAAAACCTGAGTCATTATAATAGGAGCAGGGGAGGAGGAGAGGTGGTGTTGCATGAGGGAGGAGGTCAGGGTGGATGGATGGCTTAGCAGAACATCAGACTTTAACATGGAGGTAGGGCTAAACATCTCATTTAGGATTTAAAACAACTTAATCAGCAAATCACATAGTTTGCAATTTAAGATATATGAGAAGTGGCAAACTTTCAGGTCTTGTTTATGTTGCCCATTGATCATTGTATGCTACGTGACATGCACACTGTGGTCTGACTGACACAAGCCCAGTCTCATTATTTAAGAGCCACACTTTATGTTGCATATCTGGGTCGAAACAGAGTTTTTTCAAATTCATGCCATCCTCCCTGTGCGACAGTCACACTTCTGACAGTACCACACGCGGTAATACAGAACTGAAGCTTGACTTTAAAACACAATACCTCACATGAAATCAGATATTTTTCCTCAAATCACTTTTCTTTTGACAGCGTTTGTTTCAGAAGCCACAAACAAATGATGTCCTGTTGATAGGTGCATCGGATTGGAAAATGTTTCCTCATGTTGCTCCGCAGGGCTCCAACGAATAAAGCATTTTGTCATTTAATTTGGAGCTGTTAAACTAGTGACAGCTTTGCTTTCAGGTTAGTGGGGTGTATGACAGCAAGCATGATGGCAGAAGAGTGAGCAGAACACTGAGAGGCTGAAGCAGACCAAAGTGATGAAGAAAAGGGTGCATTGGATTTACACCGGACAGCCATAGCTTTAAAACTAGTATTGTGTATGTTCCCTTTGCAACACCAATATAGCTCTGAACCATCAGGGCATGGACATGGGAGGTCCTGGGTCCCACATTTGCAGAAGATCCTTTAGGTCCTTTAGGAATGCTAGATGGAGCCTCCATGAATTGGACCTATTCCATTGGATCCTGAGGATGCATAATCAGACTGGGATCTGACTGAGCTGAACAGGCAGGTCAACTTGGTGCCTTTTTTGTGTTTCTCAAACTGTTCTTTAGTAGTTTTTACAGTGTGTCAGGGCACATTGTCCTGCTGGGGGAAGCCGCTAACACTGGGGAGTATCATTTAAGTAGATGGTACATGAATGCCGGGACCCAAGGTACCCTAACAGAACACTGCATTATGAAGAGTTGATCGATGTTATTCACTTCACCTGTCAGTGGTTTTAATGTTGTAGCACATCAGTGTGTATTGCAATGAGATGAGTCTGTCATTTGATTATAATGACAGATGAATTTTGCTGCTGACTGCACAGTGACTCTGTGGTTAGCACCGTTGCGTAATAATCTCTGCCAAAACATTTCACTGAGCACTAATTATATAGAGAATACTTAAGTTTTTAATTTGTTTTCATTAAAAACAACAGTGGCATTATGTACACAAATATGTCATGGGGGGCTACAGTGAATCGGTGGTTAGCACCATCACCTCGCAGCTATAAGATCTACGGTTCGCGTCTCGGTGAGGACACCCGGGATCTTTCTGCGTGGAGTCTCCATGTTCTCCCCGTGCAGCGTGGGTTCTCTCCAGGTTCTCCAACTTCCTCCCACACAGTCCAAAAACATGCTGAGGTTAATTGGTGATTCTAAATTGTCCGTAGGTGTGAATGTGAGTGTGCTTGGTTGTCTGTCTCTAAGTGTAGCCCTGTGATAGACTGGTTACCTGTCCAGGGTGTCTCCTGCCTTCACCCTGAGTCAGCTGGGATAGACTCCAGCCCCCCATGACCCTAGTGAGGATTAAGCGGTGTATAGATAATGGATGGATGCCTACTGAGTTGAATAGTAGGGACACTAATTCCATACATACTGTACATGTTGCTGTTTAACCTAAACATAATTTAACTTAATTTATCAGGACTGATTTAAGGGAAGGGGTTCCTGACTACACATGGTTTTTTTAACGCAGCCTCATCCGTCACTGCAAGACTCCGACACCGACGACACCTCAAAAAGCAGTAGCAGAAGAACAGCACCTCCCTGCCAGTCACTTTCTCTCCACAGACTGAGATGTTTACGCCGGTTGTATCAACAGGGAGACCAGCGGGACGAGAATTCACACACTTCTCCATCTGCCCGACACAACTCGCAACCTCCCGCTTCTAAACGCCGCGCACATTTCTCACAGCAGGGACCAAACCTCCTCACATGTGGGCTTCTATATTCCCTCCCCACAAGCTGCACACTCAGACTGACACATGTGTGCCCTGGCGTTGGCTTGTTTGATTATCCCACACACACTCTCAGAAGTATGTACGTGGAAAGACATGTGCCGAGCAGCATTCGCGAACGCTCGTTACTCCGGTGGTAATTAGACTTAGAGTGTGAGGACGGCTTTGGACGTAGGAGTCCTCAAAGTGTTTACGTCTGCCAAAGCAAACAGCCTATAGGCGCAGATGATATGTAATGCATGATAACAGACATTTTTTTTTATCAAGAGACAACTCAATTAAGCTCATTCAGTCGCAAATATTTACAACCCAGGCGGTGCATCTTTTCCACCGGCAGCGTGTGTGTGTTTATGTGCGTGTTTGAAGGCTGGTTTAATGGCTGATAAAGACAAAAAGGAGTGAACTCATAAACACGCAGTAAATCTTTTTAGTTGGAGACAGATCTCCGTCTGTAAAAGCAGCAGCAGCAGCATCACTGAGGAACCCTTTATCTTCTAAGCCTTCACTCCAACCAGAAACTTTGAGGCTTTCAGACGAAACCGCTGTTTGTTTTTAGTCTGCATTAACTCTAAAATGACGTAAACAAGCGGAATAATGATTGAAGGCGTTGATGACGGCTGGGGCATTAATGTTCCGCAGGGCTCTGGCGATGTTTAACTGCTAGTTTGGTGGGCGGTTTGGCTTTGTGGCATCCTGTAACAGCTTCTACAGAAACCGACATCATTTATTTTTCCGACGCAGGCTGGCATCAGACACATGCACACGGGCCATTAAAAGCAATTTGACGAGAGGGCATTTTGATGAGACGCACTTCACCAAATCATGAAGTGCTTAAAGCAGGAAAAAGGGAGCGCGTTGTGAGAAGTGACAGGAGGGCACATGCGAGGGAAGGAAACTCGCCACGAAGGAATAACGAGGGGGGAGCTGTTAGGTTTTTTTTGGGGGGGATCATCAGTTTCTGTTAAGCTATGTTTAATCTACGGAGCCACACTACAAATCAAAATATCACATTCCAGCTAACACAGGCGGCAGAGCGGAGAGGAGCTCGTACCACGGCTGAATGACAACAGGCTCACTGAGGATGAAACTGCACTCTCCGGTTCAACCTGCCTTCCACAGTCACATATAAAACCAATGAACGATGAGGTTACTTTAGGAGGTAAAGACGTGAGAACAAGACTGAGGAGACCAACTGAGCACACACTTAGATGGATGAGGCTCAAAAAGCAAAAAATTTCACAAACCTGTGACATTGACAACCAGGTATATGGAATTTTAGCTGCCTGATGAAAAACTGTCGTATTGA